TTTTTATACTAGCTAATGTATTTGGCTTTACATTTGCTTTTTTAATTTATGTTATCACTAGACATTTATCCTCGCTTTGCTCGGGTTCGTCCCTTGGTGCGTTTTTAGCTCCCGACGCACAAAGAGGGGTGTTATAAGTTTGACGTCGATGTCTGTCTCTGTGTGTATGTGTCTGTCTGTGGCATCGTAGCTCTCAATGTTTGGTTAATATCGGTCCAGCAGTGTAAGAGTATCACCCCCCCCCCAACGTGCGTTCACCTTGTCGTGGTGGGGGGGCTCAGTAGTGCCCGCCAATATAGCCGGGCGCGGAGCCAAGAAACGCACAGGGAGGTGTCCCACTTCGGTGGGCGGTGGGAGGTGGCCCTCTTCGGAGGTCGGTGTAGCATGCGGGTTGCTCCTGGTACTTCTCTGATAGCAGAGTGGACCTCGGAGCAGCCCCGTGGTTGTTGTGGTCTGCTTCGGTAGACCTAGACGTGTCGTAGTTGAATGCGTAAGCGATCCTGCGACGCCCCATTAAGACGGGGGAAGGTTTTGTTGGGTTATAGTGGATAGTACTGGCTGTATTACGCCGGTGAGTCCCACACGTCGTGCGTAAATGCATTTCCCAACGTTAAATAAAAAAAAGTGTAAGAGTATCAGCTCTTTCTAAAATGATGTAAGGCATTTTGGCGTATAATTACTTGATTAATTGGGGGTTTTTATAATTATTAATTTATAATTATAAGTAGATATAAATTATTATTTAGCGAGCGTTGTCCATGCAAATTTTAATGAAAAAAAATCTTGAATTTTTCTCTTGTTTTAATAGTTATTCTGCTGTTCGGGACGTATACAAATCCAATAAATCAAAAACTAGAAATCAGTCCAGCCGTTCTTGAGTTATATATGGTGTAACTAACCCGATTATGTTTTATATAATATATAGACACAGTGCCTATTCCTTCATAATATTACAGTGTTTATCCTACTCAGTACTGTGTATGTTTGTCCCGATTAAAATGAGATAAATATATGTTAGGGCATTAACACACAGCGCCATCTAGTTCCGTGGTAAGCTATGAGGCTTGTGTTATGAATACCACATAGTTGATACACTACACATATATAACTTTAAATACATACATATTATAAATATAAATACTCATGACTGGAGTACAAAATATATTCGTGCTCATCACACAAATAAATACTCCCGGTAATCCAACTTGCGACCGCACAGCAAGTAGAGTCACCACAAACTGAGCCAAACGTGTCATCAATCAACATTTGGGTTATTAAATTGTTATGGTAAATATGATAGAAAATCAAGTAGATACTAAGATATAGGCAAATCTATGGACACCCTAGACGCCATCCCGCGGCAAGTTTAAATGTGCTTGTTCTAAAAACACGGTGAAAGCCTGCCAAATGTACGCAATTTAAACAAAAGAACACACGGGCGTGAATTGCTAGCGTGTCCGCTTTTTTAATTATCTAAATGAAAAAATAATATAAAAGACCTTGTAGCCGTTCGTATCGTCTACTAGGACAGATTCTTTACGTAATATAATAATAATATTTTTACTAATGAAACGCTTGGGTGGGTCTGTAAGTGCCTATTGAATGTATAATTTACTAAATTTCATCAAAATCCGTACAGCAGTTTTAGCGTAAAGGACAAACAAACACATACTTACACAAAAATAGCTTTAGAAGTGGTATAAATATCCTATTTACTTAAAAGAAGTGTAAAATCCAAAAATTCTTATCTAATAGATAGATATCTATTTAGACCCACTTATCTCTGCAATGCAACTAATAGAATTATTTTAACTTAATTTTCAAAGACGATTAGAGAATTCAATCAAAAGGTATATAAGCAACATTTAATTTCACAGGATATTTGTTTTGAGATTTAGGTTTTGAAATAAGACCTTGACAATTTTATATATTAACGTTTAAAAAAAATTGCTGACGACACGTGTGGTTCAATTTGTAGTAAACCTACGTGCTGTGCCAGCGGTCGCGGGTTCGAGTCTCGCCTCGCTGGGGGAATTCATTTGCGTGATGAACACAATGTTTGTACTCCATAATATATAATACTATTAATTACACACACTTACATACATTACATCATAATATTAATATATTTAAAGTTATAATTATATGTGTAGTGTATCAACTATCTGGTATCAATAAGACAGGCCTCGTAGCTTACTATGGAACTAGATGGTACTGTGTGTTAATGTCTCAACATATTTAATTATTTATTTATAATATTTAATGGGTATTTTATATAATAAAATATTTTCATATAGCGTATTCTATAATTGGATTCAATAACATATGTAGATTCGTTAATACTATTTTGCTTTCAAACCTATGGGGCGTAGTGATTTACACTTTGGGAGTTTCATTCGATGAAGATAATGCTCTCATTTGTCACGTTCTACATCCTGAATGGGTTAATTTGTGTATTCATTGGCATATTTAAGATATTTTATGGGCGGCATTAAGTTTTTACGATGAAATTTTGAGGCCTTTTTTGCCAAGAATATATATATATATATATATATATATATATATATATATATATATATATATATATATATATATATATATATATATATATAGTAGTCAGTTATTGCAGCGTTCTTCTTTTCGATGAATTTGAACGATGCCATAAATAACGTTTTAATTATAATACTACGAATAAATAATAAGTTATTTATTCGTAGTTACAATACGTATTGTAATTATGTACATATAACTATTTTTGATTTTTCAATTATGTATTACTATGTTATCTTTATTAATTATAGTCTATGTGGTATTCTGATGTATAAGCTATATTACTGTTAAGTTTCATTAAAAATCTGTTAAGTACTTTTTGTGTGAAAGAGTAACAAACATACATCTATTTATCCTCAGGGACTTTTGTGTTTATAAAATTAGTAGGATTTGAAATATGAATCTAAGCATATTACAATTTTGACTAAAGTTATTAAAAAAATATTTGTCTTTTACAAATGTACATAAATACTTTATTGTCATAATATAGTAAAACATTCCATCTTACTCATTATTTTACTATGTTTAATACAAAGATCTAATATTATAATAGCAATCTATCTATTCAATTACATATAGGTATAATAAAATTGTAACGCTAAGCCGAATTTGTACATTAAATATTTTTTTTGGAAAATCTTATTGAAATAGACATTATTATCGATAGTTATGAATCTATAGTTTTTAGAATTTTTGTCTGCCTGTTTGTCTGTGACCGGAACATTACGGAAAAACCACTGGAAGGATTTTGATAAAATTTGGTATGATGATAGTTGGTTATCCGGGTCAACATAAAGGATACTTTTTACTCCAGGAAAATGTCACATCTCTGAGAAATCTATACTAAACGTTAAAACGTAAGTACGGACGAACCCGAGCGGAGCAAGAGTGAGTCGCTCTTCGTCCTTATATTAATACTAGCATTGCCCGCGGCTCCGCCCGCGTTCAGTTGACCAAAAACCAAATTCTCAGGTTTTACATATTAGTATACTCTTACATTGCAGTTTGTGCATTTTTCTCAGAAATAAGATATTTTCCCGCGGTAAAAAGTAGCCTATATGTTGACCAGTTTAACCAGCTATCACCATACCAAATTTCATCAAAATTCCTCCAGTGGTTTTTCCGTGATGCGGTAACAGACAGACAGACAGACAAAAATTCTAAAAACTCGGCCTCTGTATTGATATATCGATAATGTCTATTTCGATAAGATATTCTAAAAAATATTTAATGTACAGATTTGACTTAGTTTGAATTTTATTATATGTATAGAAAACGTCACCTCAGTGCTTTTTTGTCCCAACAACCAATTTGCCGAATCAGGTTTTTTATACAGATTAACTTTTAAATGTCCATTCTATTACTATTAAATACACATTTTACTTTAATAAATCCAAAAAAGTATTTTATTTATATATTTATGTAATTATGTATGAATATCCGTATGTTTATCCTCTATGCGTTTCTAAACTATTGATCCGATTATAATGAAATAAATAAAAATAAAACATTGTTTTCAAACTAGAAGAAAAAAACTCTATTGTGAAGTACAAGTATTGGTAGTTTTAACAAATAAGCACAGAGGCGACGATAATAGTAATATATAGATCTTTAAAATAATAGCTCGATACAAAAGTCTTTTTATCGTGTAAGCTCCTAGACGGGTGATTTAAACGTAAAAGAAAATTAAATAAAATATATTTATTTTTACATAGTACTTAAAAAAATTACAATTTACAACTAAATGTAATAAACAAAGGCATATTAATACATATTTTAAAAAAACTTTTTTAATATAATTAGGTATTTATATTTTTAAAAAACTTGTTTAATTTAAAAACTAACTTAAATCAATAGTTATAAAATTGGTACACTACAGTGTTGAAAGTAGGTACGGTGATTACTTATAACGCTTATTATAATGCAAAAGTAAAATAAAAAAATCGGACAAGTGCAAGTTTGACTCGCACGCCGAGGGTTTTTCGTTCATGCATTCGTAGCATGAAACATTAAAATAAGTTTAAAATCGCAAAAAATTGTGAGCAAAAAACAAATTTACGATTTTTGGATGTTTTTATTTACTTGTGCTCTATAAGACATTGCTTATTGCTAAATTTCATGATTCTACATAATTATTGCCAAATATGATTCTAGGTCAACGGGAAGTACCCTATAATTTTTGATTCCTTTGTGAGAGTCAAAATATGCGGCATAAACGGCCGTATCTTTTGGTTGCGTTGACTTAGAAGTTTGATTTTTTCACAGCTTCTAGGAAATGCACACCTAAGTATTTGATAATATATTCAATTTGGTAGCTTTACGCGTTTTTGAGAGAAAGGGTCTTGACAGACAGACGGACAACGAAATTATCCTTATAGAAGTTTTCTCTTTTCCTCTTGAGTTACGGGACTCTAAAAATACTAAAAGTGTTTATATGATAGCGACATTTAATTTCTACGTTCTAATTGAACCCACGACCCTCCCTTTGGTTTAATGTTAAACTCATGTGGATGCAACTCTATGGGATCGACTGTTTTAGCGCATTTTTTTATCTTGAAGTTAAGAACTAAATTGTATATCAATACTTTGAGTTCCATTAACGCAAATCTGGATCCTGAAAACAAAAGAATTTGTTACAAATTAATATATTTAAATTGAAACTGTTTGTAATTGTTTAAAAGTTTTTAATTTAATTAATTTGAAGCTAAAAGTTCTTAAGTTTTTAATTTTTGTAATCAAGTTACATCTTAAGTTCGATTTTAGAATTATTTTAAAAATTCTACTTTTCTGATTTGATTTGAATGTAATACAAGCGGTTGTGATAGATCGTACCAAAGAAAGTGACACAAATGTATATTTACGTGCTTGCTAGTAAAAATCCATTTTCCTGTAGCAGTGGGATCGAGTTTCTAAAACGTAATCATAATAATATAAGCCAACATCCTTACCGATACAAATTCGTGGTCCCATACCGAAAGGCATGTATGTGAAAGGCTTTATATTATGTTTGTTCTCTTCAGAAAACCTTTCCGGGTCGAACTTCTCAGGATCCGGGTGGTATTGAGGGTCCATGTGGATAGAGTTGACTACATTGTAGACGACATCTCCTGGATTTAGCTGTAAGTGTGATAAAGAAAATAATTAACCGACTTTCAGAAAGAGATTATGTGTTCGTGGTTCTGGCCTTCAAAGCAAAACTTTTTTGGGATGTTGGGATATCTCAATTTTATGCATTTTTATGATGTCTCAATTTTATGCATTACAAACAGGCGGTTATGTGGGACTCAGTACTACCCACTAAAACCCAACAATACCTCCCACGTCTTAAGGTAATCTTTGCCTTAAGGTGAAGGTCGCAGGATCGCTTACGACCTCAACTACGACGCCCCGACGGCAAGTCTGCCGAAACAGACTACAACAATCATTTGTTTGCTCCAACAGACCTCTCTGCTATCAGTGGAGTACCAGGAGCAACCCACATGACATACCACCCACCGAGGTTGGTCGCTTCCAGTGGTTTTTTGGCTTTACGCCCGGCTGAATTGCCAGATGCTAATGAACCAATTGCTAATGATGACAGAATAGACGGAGAAAGACAAAGTGAAATCCACCAACTACTACGTTATACTATAGACATAACAATACGTTATACTATAGACATAACAAAGTGTGCTATTTATTAACTTATTCTATTAAAATTGATGAGTTTATAAAATACTAGCGACTTCTTACTCGGGTTCGTCTCTAGGTACATTTTAAAGGTTAGTATGGAATAGATATATTATATATTATATAAATACATAGGTATGATGAGTTGTTGTGGGTTGTATTATTACGTGTTTTCCCGTGGGAATGAAACAATCTCCCGTGGTAAAGCCTATGTCACTCCTCAGCCTTCCAACTATCTCCACACAAAAAATCACGCCAATCCGTCACTCTGTTTCGATATGAAAGAAGGAGACACCAACAAACAGACTTTCACATTAATAATATAAAAAAATATAGTATAGATATGATATTATGTCTATCCATTCATCTATAAGATGTGTAGATAATTCGAGAAAGAATGGACGGTTATCGTAGATTTTGATTTATTTTTGACTGTCTTGAAGAAGAGGTATTGAAAATACACCATTTTTGTGTGTATATTTATATAATTATGGATATTCTTCTTTTTATAGTCGTTCAAAAAGTAATTATTAAATTTTATAAAGTAACAACTAACCATAATTAAAAATACTGCCAAGTTTATTTTCTATCTGTTCATTAAGTCCACAAAAGGTTCAGCTCTCTGTTGTAAGTCCTTCATAGTATAAAGAGGGTTATGATTGCTTATGTAGAGCTTTTTAAATCATTAGATAAAAGTTATCATTAAAAAATAACGTGAATGAATATAAAAGTGATAAAATTAAGCTACTAGCTAGGATTTTAATCACACGGCTGTAATTCTTTATTTAAATAGGAAGCCATCGTAATTTTTTTTGTAAAAATCCTTTAGCTATTGTTATTTATTAACATTTATTTACTTTTTAAATAAAACTATCTTTTCGGATTTTTTCGCAAATTTATTTTGATTTTTGGTTCGCGACGTTTCGAATGCTTTACAGCAATCATGGTCACGGGAGAGACTGAGGTGTTAGATGTCTCAAAAGTATTATATAGTTGTTACAGACAGCCTACCCACAAATAATAAAATAAATTTTCGCGTAAATCTAAGAAAGTATATATTTACTTATCACAGTAATGAGTATTCTAATAAAATTTGTACACTATTTTAAAACATTATTCATGTCATTCGTGCTTCATGTTCAGTTCTATGACACTCTGTCAATATTATTCCTTGGTTTGAGTTTAAGAAATAAAAAATGCCATATTATGTTACTGTCATCTATACAGTTAAATAAAATTAAAGTGTTTGTTTGTAATGTCAAAACAACAGCTTTTTACTAAATGTATATGAAAGTATATACGGTACTAATAAGAAAAGAAATTTTTTACATGATTTGCTTGTCTTTCTGTTTGTTCCGGCTAAACTCCGAAACGCCTAGACCTTGAGCTAGATTTTGACAGGACTTTCACTGGCAGATAGCTGATGTTATAAGGAGTAAATTAGGCTACTTTTATTATAGGAAAAGTATCAAAGTTCCGCGCAAAAAAATTAATGCCTACCCATGAAATTGTTAACAAAATCTAGAGATGCACCCGAGCGAAACGAGTAGGAGAAGTCGCTAGTAATATATAAAGCTGGCTAAAGCCACAAGTGGCCATTTTTTTAAAGTTTCGACACACAATGAAAAAGTTATGTTTGGATAGTGGACACTTAAATAAAAAGATAAGCATTATGATCGTGTTACGTGTCCGAGATATTACACGTTTCTAAGGTTATCACTAATATATATATTTTTACCACATATTTTTATCACTTACACATTATTCTATCAGAATTATGTGAACCTTATTTGACAATTAACACATATTGACATGTAATTAGTTCAATTTTAATCATTTTATTGGTATCATTTTCTTTTATTTAATTTGATGGCACAAAAGCACAACCCTCTTTTATGTAATAATAGAAATATATATATAATATTAAGCTGTTTGAATTTTAAGGTTCAAAAATTTAGTAAGCGTAACCACGATATTTTTGACCTGCCATGTACTAGAACGAAATATGCTCGAAATACCTTTATACTTCGCTCATGTAATGAGTATAATAAAAAATTTACAAGTATAGACATATTTTCAAATTCACTTTTAAGTTTCAAAAATAGTATTAATAACCTATTGTTTAATTGTTGATTTTGTATTATATGTATTTTATATTTTTCCTTATTTTTTATATTTTTTTTATTATTCATGTTAAGCAGTGTTTCATTTTGTAATTTTTTAGTTTATTGTTTAGCTTTTTGTTTTTCTCTTTTTCATTATTGTCTGCTTCTTAAGTGTATTGTTTATTTGTGGAAACTTCATTGGTTTATGTGTCATCTATTATTATTAATTATTTATGTAGTATCGTACTGTTTGTTTCCCTAAAATAAATAAATAAATAAATAAATAAATAAATAAATAAATAAATAAATAATGAGAAAAGTATGTGCATGTAAAGCCAGAGGCAATACATAGTATGTTAAATTATAATAAAATGCATGAAAATTTATTGAGTATTTTCGAGATATTGGCTCTTATAAAGAGATGTAAGCATTGATAACATGCTTTAAATATCATCGGCATGTAGTCGAGTTCTCTCATATGGACTTTATAATGAAAGAAAAAATATTCAATACGCTTTAATCAAGTGCTTTTCCTTAATCAAGTGATTAATTGAAAATTGTAGAAAAAATTCGCATAAGGGAAAATAAATAATTGCATAATATACAGGATGGTCTTTTCGAGCATATGAGTACATAGTAATAACAAAGTCTGAAAGTATGGTATTTATCATGGTATTTACCATGGGGCCGGACTGGGTTTAGATATTAAAAATGCATTATTAGTTTAAAAAAAAACCTAGCCTAAATATTAGGAATACTATTATTGCATTAGCTATTAATTTCATTTGAAAAGATTAAAAATCGAAAAATTAAACTAAATATGCTATCTATATATAGTTTATAATATTTTTTATACGAGAATCGAACCATTCTATCATTATGTAGATACACCACCACTGATACATAAAACTTGAAGTATTATATTATTGTTAATTCAAAACTTACCTGTACGGGCTTAGCTCCTTCCCGCGGCGGCGGCAGCTCATAAGCTTTAGTGCACATTCTGTCCATTATTAGAGCAGCCGCCCACTTTCTAGATGTTTCTAAAAGTAAATAAATAATAATCTATACATATAGTAAAATTCTGAGTCGAATCTGTACATTAAATATTTTTTGGAAAATCTTATTGAAATAGTTATTGAATTCTAAATGTGCAATTGATGCCGAATCTATAGTTTTTAGAATTTTTGTCTGCCTGTCTGTCTGTAATCGCATCACGATAAAACCACTGGAGGGATTTTGTTGAAATTGGGTATGATGATAGCTGGTTAAACAGGTCAACATATAGGATATTTTTTACCGCTGGAAAATATCTCATTTTTGAAAAAAATATACTATAACTGCAATGTAATATTTATTAATATTTATTATTTAGTATACTGATATGTAAAACCTAAGAATATGGTTTTTGGTTATCTAAACGTGGGCGGAGTCGTGGGAAATGCTAGTTATATATAATTTTTTGAAATTCGCTAAAGTAAACAAAATTTAAAAATAAATAAAGACTGGAATGTTAACTTTACATTTAAACTTACTGAGATATTAATTTTAAATACGTACCATTCAAAACACAGTCCAAGTACTTCAAAGTATTTAAGTTATCATATGTAATATCTCCATGTTGCTCCTTAAAACTTATTATTTCCTGGTACAATTTCTCCTGAATATCAGGGTGTAAGGCGAGCTCGTGCACGCACATCACTAGGGCTGTTGCGGAGCTCTCGTAGCCCGCAACGAAGAATATAAATACTTGACCAGCCAGTTCGTTTTGAGTCCATTCTAAAATGTATATAAGAAGCGGTTATAACGAGAATTGCTTTCTTAGACAAAGGTACTAGATTCGATTCCGATTTGCAATTTGAATACTAGACCGTTTAAGGTGGAGCATCTGTATAAAGGAAGGTATAGTGAAATTAGGGAAAAACTGAAAGTATCAACTTTTTTCTATAGGACTTTTGTATGAACAAAATTTTGTAGAAACAAAATTGGAATTTGCTTTAAAAATTAAACTTAACGCTTCTTTTTTGTACTAGAGAACCAAAACCGTTTATCCGATTGTAATGAAAGTTTTATGGGTTGTTATGGGTACGCAAAGGATCCTGGCCAAAAAGAAACAAAACTTTGTATGTTTGTCCATGGGTTTTAAACCACTTATCCCTAGGGACGTCCCACAGCGAAGCGAGCGTTAACGATCTATAATTTTTTTTTATTTTGAACACTTTGAGTGATGACAGTTCATCTACATTTCTATGTAAATATTTTTTTCATATGCAAAATTCATAAAAAAATTGCGGGTGTGTAACCTTTAAGCGCGGTTGAAGTAAAACTTTTTTGGCAAATATCGCAATTAATTAAAAACAAATCAATAAATAAGGCATAATAGGCATATTTCAATCATATATTTACAGAAAACCATATACGGAAATATTATATATTTGTCATACAATAACCACGGTTATCATGGCAACATGGCAATGTATTTTGTCTCATTCTCTTGCCGGCTTAATCCTATATATTTATGTGTTTGTCTCTTTTTAGTGTCGCATTTTCATTTAATCGAGTTTCAAATCACAACGTTTCTAAAGGAGTTTCATTTAAAAACTAATATTGACATTATGGCTAACTGTTTACCGCTGTTAAATACAATACTGCGTAATATGCGATGGCGGCAATATTACAAATATATATAATAAATCGTTCAGTGTGGTAACACTCGTAGTCTTGGTTTTGGTCGTCTTTTTGAAGTACACTAGGAGATTCATGACATATAGCATTTCATCGAATGGAATAAAAGAAATTGATCATTTTATTCAAATTTTTAAATATCTCCATATTAATAGAATCCTTGTAATCATAATTTAAATATTGAAATTTGACCGTGAACTTTGACACAATAATAAACTCTACAGATGCACGTGATGTACTTGAGATGAATCAGTACTAATTTAATGCCAATTGAAGCCCGTTGCTATGATTAATTTTTATATATTTTGGTTATATTTTTATTATTATATTAAAATTGTTTGCAGTGGTAGCCCAGTGGTGAAGCACTAGCTTGAGAAATCGAGTGAAACGGGTTCAAATTCCGGGTCTTGCATCTCTGATATTTTCATTATAATTTCTATCATGATAACCACTTGTCTTACGGTGAAGGAAAACATCGTGAGGAATCCTGCATGTCTGAGAAAACCTTAGAAGGGTTTTGAAAGACTTGGCCAGCGTTTTGTTGGACTATGGGCTGTTCCTTCTCGCATTTAGAGTAGACCTGTGCCCTGGTGAAGCCAGGGCGAGTCTCTAATATATATATATATATATATATATATATATAACAAATATATATATATATATATATATAACAAATATATATCTCTAATATATATATATATATATATATATATATATATATATATAACAAAGTCTGTTTTCTTACAACACTTATAACTCGAGAACTGCTGAAGCGATTCTTATGATCTTTATTTTGTTGGATTTGTCTTCATCCCAAATAGCTATTAAAGAATCACAATAACTATTAAAACATTAGAAAAAAAACACAAAAAAAATTGTAAAAAAAAACTATTCCATACTAAGCTTCAAAAGGTACCTAGGAACGAACCTGAGCGAAGCGAGGGTGTGTCGCTAGTGTATAAATAATATAATATGCAACTTACGTCGTTGCACCGCTTTCGGTTTGAAAGTGTCTTCGGCGAGAGGGAAGTTGTCATTTCCTTCGTTTTCAGCTTTTAAAGATCCTGAAAAAGTATGTCCTTAAAATAATATTTGTCAAACGATAATATATTATTTGCCGTATAAAATATGTATTTGTGTTCTGATTATATTTGCTCAGTATTTTATCTACTGTTTATTCACTCGCGTGTATTTATTTGTACTAAGCCTCATTATTATACTACTTTAATGAGTAGCATAAAATAGCATCACACTAAACGTACTATCATACTAATACTTATTATAAATATGATAGTTTGTGAATGCTTAAGTTCCTTCTTTACGCTATAGAGAATGTATACTGGTTATACAGGCTGTGAAAAAACTTATATTGTGGATTAATTAGTATATAGGCTATCTGTATCTCAAGAAGAAAGTTATAGTTTCAATAAATACTTTCTTAGATTCACGCGAATACTGGACATTTTAAATTAAATATTTATATTTTTGGTTTTTTTCGCGGACTTTATATATTTTTTTGATTTTTGGTTCCCTGATCAACCAAATTAAAAATCAAAATGGATGGCAAAAATCCAAAAAGATTGTTTTTATTTGTACGTTCATATTTCGAGACGCAAATCTTGTTTAGACATAATATAATACAATAACGTTATAAAAACACAAAAAAAAACCTTTAAATATCTTTATACGTATGTTTTTTTAATTTTTAAAACATCAATGTTCATGAAAGTACCTTTAACAGCCTCCATCAAAAGTTGAATCATGTCGGGACGTTCTATATTATTCTTTCGCCGATGCTCCATGGTACCGGTTACTAAGTCCCTGAAAAATTTCGTCGTTTTTTGGGGGAATAATTGTAAGCCCAATTTCTGAAACAAATTTTGCTCAATTAGAGATTTTGTTTAAAGTTGATACCAAATATATTATTACGATGCCTACTTGTGCATTTTAAATTATAAAATAAGTAATCTCTAATCTAAAATATAAAATCTAAATATACTATAGTAAGGAGTAGTTACAAGTTTTTTGCAATAGATTTAGAGATAGCTAGCGATTTACATTCGCTTCGCTCGGGTCCGTCCATAGGTACGTTTTAAGTTTTTAGAGCGGAACCCTATTTCTTTTTCTAAAATAAAAGTATCCTAAGTTACTAATTATAACATCAGCTATCTGCCAATGAAAATCCGGTCAAAATCAGTCCAGCCGTTTTGGAGATTAGCCGGAACAAACAGACAGACAAATAAATATGAAAAAAATGAGTTTTTCTTATAAATACCGTATACAATTCCAATTATATTTTTCTATATAGATTAAAAGATTTTATAGAACATGAGTAGGTATGTGTTATTGCGCAGGATATTCTTAAAAAAGACGTGTCAGTTTATTTGTGTTTAATATTATTATAGAGGTATTATTATTTGCTTACCCGAGCTACCAATTAGATTTATTTACAGTACAAATTGTAATTATAAAGAGATATGTAATGTAATCCATACTAATATTATAAAGAGCTAAAGTTTGTGAGTTTGTGACGTTGTAGAGGTTAATCTCTGGATCAACTGAACAGATTTAGATAAAATTTGGTAAGAAGATAGTTTGAGACTCTGGGAAGGATATAGAATACTTTTTGTCACGGAAATCATCCTTTAAGGGGGTGAAAATAGGGATGAAAGTTTGTATTGGGAATCAAGCTAGGGACGAACTCGTGTGAAGCGAGAGTGAGTCGCTAGTCTCGTAGAGTATATACTCTTATAAATAGGCCCAGATAAAGACAAGACACGTTCAGTATCTTTTTCTCCTCTGTTCGTCAATCGATTTTCTTTTTTTATGTTTAGTAGCTATTGACGAGATTCAGTGTCAGCAAGATATAAATTTTGGAAACAGCAACTTTATAATCATAGGTAAAGATAAATTAGTTCAGTATTGTCTATACATATAATAAAACTAGCGGCTCACCCTCGCTTCGCTCGGGTTCGCCTCTAGAAAAACAAAAACAAATCTGTTCCACAGGAACCGTACATTTTTCCGGAATAAAAAGTAGTGTATTTGTTATTCTGATGTATGAGCTATATTATTGTAAAGTTTCGTCAAAATCCATTCAGTACTTTTTGCGTGAAAGAGTAACAAATATACATCCATACATCCATTCTTACCAATTTTCGCATTTATAACATTAGTAGGATTCTAAATGAGTCGAATCTGTATATTAAAATATCTTTTGGAAAATCTTACTGAAATAGACATTATTATTTATTATAGATACAGAGGCCGAATCTATAGTTTTTAGAATTTTCTCTGTCTGTCTGTGACCGTATCACCAAAAAACCACTGAACAGATTTTGATGAAATTTGGTATGATCATAGCTGGGTATCCGGGTCAACATATAAGATACTGTTTACTGCTGGAAAATATCTCATCTCTGAGTTTATACTAAACGTTAAAACATAAGTAGAGACGAACTCGAGCGGAGCGAGGTTAGTCGTTAGTTATATATCAATTTTCAATAATGTTTAACGGTCGAATTTCAATCACTGGGCGAATTGTTTTAAATACTCTCGTACCTTACTAAAATTTGGGAAAACGGCCGTCATGAAGAAGAAAAACCGTTGAAAAATGTTGAAATTAAACATGTTTTGTCCAGTTTTGTAGAACTCATTGTCTCTGTCTTTCAACGAGTTCACTTGAAGTCCAAAGGCAGCTGAGGCGATAACGTCGTTGGTGTAACGACGAATTAGATCTTCTACATCGATGTCTTCGTTTGTATGATCTAGATAAAAACAAATTTACAGTAGTATATTATGACGACACGTTTGGCTCAGTTTGTAGTGACCCTACTTGCTGTGTCAGCGGTCGCGGGTTCGAGTCCCGCTGGGGGTATACATTTGTGTAATGAGCACGAATGCTTGTACTCCAGTTTAGGGTGTTTATATTTTTAATATGTATGTATTTAAAGTTATATAATATGTGTAGTGTATCAACTATCTGGTATCCATGATACAAGCTTACCATGAAACTAGATAGTGTTGTGTGGAGTTAATGTCCCAATATATTTACCTATTTATACAAATCAAATCAAATCGAAATATTTTATTCAGCATTAAATTATTACAATTTTTACTGAACGTCATGAGTCTACTACCAGTTCGGAAAGAAGAAGCCTCAGACCTGAGAAGAACTGGTGAAAGAAACTCAGAACTGGCGGAAGAAACTCAGAAATGCCTTAGTATAATGTCAGTAAGTCCCACTTCTATGCACGGGTCTCCCTTCAATACGAGAGAATCAGGGCATAGTCCTAATCAGGCCGTACTAGATTGTTAAAAATAATTTGTATTTTGTATGTTACATTGTTGAAAATTGAAATAAATATTTGAAATAAAATACGCAACGCTGATTGTGTATAACCGGTGTTTTAATTTAAACCTTTTGATAAACAGGATTATTTAGCCGTAGACCGTGTTTTTGATCTTTTTAGTAAATTATATTTTTATTTAGCTAAAAGCTATCAGTTGGATAATAATTTTTGTTAGCAATCCATACTAATATTATAAATGTGAAAGTGTGTTTGTTTGTTCTTCTTTCACGTCGAAACGGAGTGACAGATAGGCGTGATTTTTTGTGTGGTGATTGTTGGAGGGCTGGTGAGTGACATAGGCTACTTTTGACCGCGAGAGATTATCTCATTCCCACAAGAAAACACGTTATAATACAGCCCAAAAAATTATTTATGATCAGAATTAATTGAAACTTAGTATTAATGCTCGTATATAATAATTAAATAAATACATGTTTTAGCATTTTTCGAAATTCATCCCATAAGGGGTTGAAAGTTTATATGAAACCTATTTTTTTAGTTTTTTTTGTCGTTTTAGCGCGACCGAAGCCGCGGGTTCTGCTAGTTATAAATAAATATTATTGTTTTTGGGTAGCAATTATGTTATTTCTATAGTACTTGTTTTAATGTGAGTAATAGATATTTTAATTGGGTAAATAATAAAAGATAAGAAGCAAAATATATTTTTGTAAACATTCAATATTTAAATCGTTTTTATCTAGCGTTTTATGTAATACTACCGACTTATCCTCTCTTCGCTCGGGTTCGTCCCCACAAAAACTGTCATCCCCATTTTCAACCCCTTTAGGGATGATTTCCGGGATAAAAACTATCCTATATCCTTCCCAGGGTGTCATACTATCTTCTCATTAAATTTCATCTAAATCGGTTCAGTAATTTAGGAGCTTATTTGGTACAAGCAAACAAAAAATCTTTCCTCTTTGTAATATTATTATAGTAGTATAGATAGACTTTTATTTCATTAAAATTCTTAGAGCATGATTCTATTCATTTTGGTCTGTCTATTATTCAGTCTACATACTGCATATTTGCTATTCTCCGAAGCAGATGTACAGCTTAAAAAATATTATTAACGGATATAGGATGACTAACAGAGACAGACTGCTATCATCCTGGTATCCTGGAAAGGATAGAGAGGATAGAAGAATATCGGATAAATTAATTTAAATGAAACCTTCATGTATAAACTCACAAAATCTCTCCCGCCAACCATTTCGTACACTGATTCCTTCGCTCTAAGATTGCTTCGACGACTTCGCGTCTAGCGATAAAGTAGACTTCTGTGCATCTTTTTTTAACAGACTTCAAAAAGGAGGAAATTATCAATTCGGCTGTATTTTTTTAATATATTTTAAGAAATATGTATGAATGTGGTGAGTAATAAAGTGTCTATATATTTATTATCTTATTATAATAAACAAGCAATTCTTGTATATATATAAATTATAAATTTATTTCGTGTATTTTATAAACTACTCTAACGATTTGTATCAAATTTTGCATTTAGATAACGTTTTGCTTTTTGAGCTTAGATACCTAAATAGGTAATTTTTCTGAAAAAAAAACACAGTTTTTATATCTTACCAGAAAAACGCCGAAGCTCGGTTACCCAAGCTTTATTTAAAATCAGTAAAATTAAACAAAAAAAAATTGTACCAAACATTTACTTCACGCAGAAACCAAATGTGCGATTGTAACTAAGTAACACTACAGTGCCACTAAGCCAGAGTACGATGTACAGATATTTTTGTAAATGTAATTTAATTTATATTTCTGTACTTGAGGCTCTACATTTATTATCACGCAAATGTATATTTTTTATGAAACTAATATATTTTCAAGATTTAATTAACAGTAGTGTTGCTTGAACGTAGATCGCAGCGCTTGGCACTTCATCCTCTCGCACTGCCCTAATGAGGACATTAAAATATTTATATTTTAATATATGGCATTCTCAAAAATAATTACGGCCAACTGCTTTTTAGTAATTTACTTAAAGTATCTTTTATTTTGACGAGTTCTTTGTTTTGACAAAAAAAATGTTTTCAATCTAGATTTTATTTTATATTTACTACTATTTTACTATTTGAATCTATGTATTATATTATATAATAAAATTCTAACTGAGTTGAATCTGTACATTAAATGTTTTTCTTGGGAAATCTTACGAAGGCCGAATCTATAGTTTTTAGAATTTTTGTCTGTCTCTCAATCTGCCTGTCTGTCTGTCTGGAACCGCATCACGAGACAAAAAATTTGTAAAAAAAATATGTTGGGGCATTAACACACAGCACCATCTAGTTCCAGAGTAAGCTACGAGGCTTGTTTTATGGATACCAGATAGTTGATACACTACACATATATAGTTTTAAATACATACATATTATAAATATAAACACCTATGACTAGAGTACAAATATTCGTGCTCATCACACAAATGAATGCTCCCAGCGAGACTCGACCCCGCGACCGCTGGCATAGCAAGTACGGTCACTACAAATTGAGCTAAACGTGTCGTCAAATATAAAGGTCATAATAAATACTTAAATTAAATTTAAATGTGATTTAAATATACACCTAATTATACTTAAGCAATTATTTTTTTATTTATTTATAAAATTTTCAGTACATAATGTATTGTAGCAAAAACAGATATAAGCGATAATAATTACAAAACTTAATAAACTATGTCGTAACAATTCTCTACATATATATGTGAAAGAGCTACTTTTATTTATGTCATATATTTCGTAATTCCTATGTTATTTTTAACTTATTATAAAAAAAGATGCGAACCTCAAATAAGGTGTATGTTTTTGTATGAATGTTTTAAGAAGAACAACTATTAAAGATATTTTAATATTTGTTTATGTTTTTTTGTAAAAAATAACTATCGATAATGTTATGACTCTTTAATACTTATCGTATAATAAATATTATGTTTCTTGATGGTGGAACACTTCATAATTTAGAGCTTAAAATTATTTACCAATAAATTGTATTAGACTAGCATTGCCCGCCGCTCCGCCCGCGTTCAGATGACCAAAAACCAAATTCTTAGGTTTTACATATTAGTATACTCTTACGATGGAGTATTTGTATTTTTTCTCAGAAATGAGATATTTTCCCGCAGTAAAAAATATCCTATATGTTGACCAGGATAACCAGCTATCACGATACCAAAGTTCGTCAAAATCCCCCCAATGGTTTTTCTGTGATGAGGTAACAGACAGAGAGACAAAAATTCTAAAAACTATAGATTCGGCCTCTGTATCGATAATAATGTTTGTTTCAATAAGATTTTCCAAAAAATATTTAATGTACAGATTCAGCTTACTTACAATTTTATTATATGTATAGACTAGCGGCTAACCATCGCTCCGCTCGGGTTCGTCCCTAGGAACGTTTTAACGGTTAGTATAGACTTCTCCGAGTTGAGATATTTTATAGGCTGGAAAAAGTATTCTATATGTTGAACCGGATAACCAGCTATCATCATTCTAAATTTTATCAAAATGTTTCCAGTAATTTTCTCGTGATGTGTTCCCAGACAGACAGACAGATAATAATGACTATTTCAATAAGAATTTCCAAAAAATATTTAATGTACAAGTTCAACTCAGCATTTTATTATATGTATAGATATACAACATATAATAATATACAACATATAAAAATATATAACAAATACGCCAAATGCATCCATACTAATATTATAAATGTGAAAGTGTGTTTGTTTGTCTTTCTTTCATGTCAAAACGGAGTGACGGATTGGCGTGATTTTTGGTGTGAAGATAGCTGGAGAGCTAGAGAGTGACTTAGGGTACTTTTTATCGCGGAAGATCACCTCATTCCCACGGGAAAACACGTTATAAAACAATCCAAAATTTTATTTCTGCTCAGAATTTCTCGAAACTTGGTATTAATGATCTTCAACACAAATAAATAAATATGTGTTTTAGCATTTTTCGAAATTCATCTTATAAGAGGGTAAAATAAGCGATGAAAGTTTGTATGAAACTTACCTACCTTTTTAGAGATTATTTTGTAGTTTTAGCGCGAGCGAAGCCGCGGGTTCTGCTAGTAAATACATATATTATACCTACAAATATTTATATGTATGTTACCATTATCCAGACGTAGAATTTTTTGTTTGTTTCGAACAAATCACAGACACAATAATCAACGATGACCTCTAGAGCATACCAATTATTAGTATAACAGCATATGGCCTTGTATATATATTACGCTATTAATTTATTCTTTATAAATGAACAAAAAAAGAATTGTTTGTTTGTCTTTAACGTATGAATACGTTAACCAATCACAATGAAAAGTATATAAGAACATTTCTAAATGCCAATAGCTAGTTACTACTTCAAGGATCCACAATATTGAAATTGAATTTAAATATACATATGTACAATTATCTGTTGATTCAAATGTACATATTTGTAAAAGTTTATTTGAATGAAACATGTTTTGAATTAAGTGATATTATTATAATTATTTATTTAATGGTTAGGATATATTCCACATACATTTAATAAAAAACGCCGCTTAGAAAGGTAGAGTAAGCACTTTTAAAATATTCTTTGACATCAGTTATTAACCTTTTTAGTTTATGTACACACATTGTTAATACAACATTTTACTTATATAAATCAAATACTATATAATTTATCTATACATATAATAAAATTCTAACCGAGTCGAATCTGTACATAAAATATTTTAATATTAGTATTAACTTATTAATATTTTGGAAAATCTTATTGAAATAGTTGTTATTGTCGATACGTTTCGTTTTTAGTATAGCACATAGGCTACTTTTTATCTCGGAAAAATGTACAGTTCCCGTGAGATAGATGTGGTTTTCGCTAGTAAAATTTTATATGAAAATTATGTATAAAAAAATTATGAATTAATAACAGCATACTTTTGATACTTATGCATGTAAAGTCGTGGAAAGCCAAGCGAGGGCACTATCTTAAAAAAATAATATTAATAAATTATTTGTTAGAAGTAATACAAACCTTGTAAATGTTGAATGATGTTGGAACTGATCTCTGTCATGAAGGGAAGCATGCGACGCATTTTAGATCCGGTGAAGGCAGGACTCAGCGTAGTCCGCATGTCGTGCCATTTTTCACCTATGAAAATAATAAAACTTTAATTTAATAACACTATTCTTGAATATATATATATATATATATATATATATATATATATATATATATATATATATATACATGAAAAATGTTCCAAACAAGTTGGGAGGTATTTCTAAAAAAATGTTGCAAATGGTCACCAAATTTGAAGCGCTAAGAATTGACTTTATTTTTGATGGTGTGTAATAAATGCTATGCTAGTTGCAGTTTTATAAATCATCTTATTATTACCCAAGTATTATATATCAAAATCGGCTTTTATACTATAACGTAAGAAGAATTATGATTTCATGAAAAGGGTGTCTCGCAAGGGTTTGCCACGATGTTAAGTGTCTGGCATTAAATGACGTGATTTTTAATAATATTCTGAAGGTAATACCAAAAAATCACACTTTATTATTTGACTAATTTAGATCGGTATTTTATACACCTTTAGTACCGTGTACCTGCCAAAGCCACCATAGCCTGAACTTCATAATGGTCCATCGTTCTTATCTGTGTTTGAAGCATGCGCTGACAAACTTTCAGCCTTTATAAAATGACGAAGGTCTGGCGTTCACAGGCTCTTAGGCCATATTAAAGTTTGCATAAAAACATCTATACATATAATAAAATTCTAACTAAGCCGAATCTGTACATTAAATATTTTTTGGAAAATCTTATTGAAATAGACATTATCATCGATACAGAGGCCGAATGTATAGTTTTTAGAATTTTTGTCTGTCTGCTTGTCTGTCTGTTACCGCATCACGGAAAAACCACTAGAGGGATTTCGATGACATTTAGTATGATGGTAGCTGGTTATTCGGGTCAACATATAGGATACTTTTTACCGCGGAAAAATATCTCATTTCTGAGAAAAAATACAAAAACTGGAATGTAAGAGTATACTAATATGTAAAATCTAAGAATTTTGTTTTTGGTCATCTGAACGCGGGTGGAGCCGCAGGCAATGCTAGCCAAACTATAAAAACATAAACACATACGCAAATAAAAGATAGTAATTATCATATAAATCATAACAAAATTATATTGAATAATAACATTATAGATTAAATTATTAGTATTATTTTTATCTTCATAATTAGAAGATAACATCTTTATAATTTTAATGTAAAAATAATAATAAATATACCAATATTCTAAATCTGTGTATTTGTTATTGACAAAAATTCAGCTACAATAAATTTCAAAAGATTTATTCATTGGATAAGTCTGAATAAATAGTAGTCGTAATATGCTTGTGAAAGGTTTAAATTTACAATTGTCGTCAAACTTCTTGGACTATAACTGAATCAGACTATATTTACATATGTATGTATATGGATGTATTTGTATGTATGGTTAAGCAGCAAAAAATAAAGAATAAAGTAATTAGACTAAATAAAGTAATGTAAATAGATTAGACAATCTGGAAGAAGGGCGAGTGAAAGTCGAAGTTAGGGGAGAACACTGAAGACCAAGCAAAAATATTATTTTATCTGTATATATTTAAAAATTCTAGAAATAAAGCTTGTTTTAAAAAGATAATAAAAAATATCTTTTGTAAAGTAAGACTGCTGGTTTAAACAAATAAGCACTAAAGCGTGCGTATGTATGTATTTCTATTAATGAGGCAACAGATACCTACCTAAGTATCATGTAAGTGCGTTTAAATTGTAAGTGAAAATGACTTTAAAATTAGACCTTGTGTGATAGATAAAATTTTACCTTTTAACATAAGCAAACTTCCACCAAAAAGGGGCTCGTTCTCTTCTGAGAAAAACTGCTTATGATCGACGAAGTGGTCGAAATCCTTGACGGTTATTGTCTTTATGAGTTCAGGGTCTCTGATTAGAAAAATAGGTACTGTTCCTTCTATATAGCCAACGTACCTATAACAAAATTAACACCTCCAGGTAATTTCTAAGAAATTAATTAAATTTCTAAGAAATCTATTGTTAACTGACACGCCGGCGTGTCCGCGGTCGTGGAGGGAATAAAAAAATACTTTTACTTCTGTATTCTGCAGAGTTAAACGGTTTCAACCTTTTGGTGAAGTGGGATGGTTGATTGTTATTTGCAATTTGATGTCAGACAATAATATATAAAATTTAGTACATTTTGCATCATATTTTCTCAATAAAACAATCCATACTAATCTGTATACATATTATAAATTTGAAAGTTTGTGAGTATGGACACTCGCACCGTTACTGTTTCACGCCAGAACGGCTGAACGGATCTGGATGAAATTTGGCACAGAGATAGATTATAGTCTGGAATAACAAATAACACATAGGCTAATTTATATCCGGAAAAATATACGGTTCCTGAGGTATAGATTTGTTATTGTTTTTCTAGAGGCGAATCCGAGCGAAGCGAGGGTGAGCCGCTAGTATTATAATATGAAAGTTCGTGAGGATGAATCAAATCTATGGACTGAATCAAATGGACTAAATCACGTCAGAACGGCTAAACGAATCTGGATGAAATTTGGCACAGAGATAGATTATAGTCTGGAATAGCACATAGGTTACCTTTTTATCCCAGAAGAATGTACGGTTCCCGTGGGATTGATTTGTTTTGGTTTTTCACTCCGGACAAACCCGACTGAAGCAAGGGTGAATTGCTAGTAATTTGTAAAACTGTTTTCAAATTTTAAAAATGTGTAGAATGTTCTTAAGTTTTATTGTAATAGATAAAGAGAATTTAATAAATCTGTAACTGTTGGACGATCCAGAATATAGACAAAATTATATTTTATTAGTTCTAGTTGGTGATTGTACTCGTGTCCTTTAATTCTACAGACAATGACAGACGGACAATTACACCTGACTTTAGTAAGTATATATTTAGTGGTGGGACCAACGTTAACGTTTATAAAATTTGTTTGAAATACTCGTATTTATGTAAGAGTATTTTTTAAGCTAAAGATATTTCTATTAAAATATTTTAATTAAAATTATAAAATTATAATTTATATAAGAAAAACCAAAGCGAGTTTTAGTCGTATGTATTTGTAATCTTCATTTAAAGTCACTATGTACAGATTTGGATTAATAAAATTAGTATATATTTCCGATTTCATACATCGTATCGTATTTTCCTGCCTTCTCCGCTTGTCTTCAAATCACGTACATATTGATATACCATCAATTATATTAATTAAAAATAATTACTTTTCAAATAAAAAGGTTTGTTAGGCTTGTTTTTTATAGTTTTGTTATAGTTTTGTATGGAATCGTTTAACAAATAAGAGGCTTTCAGAGGCTTTTTCTTCGACGGTAAATAAATTACAATTAATCGTTTTACACAGTTACAATTAGTTCATAAAAACAAAATATGTGTACCGTAATATACGCACAACTAATACAATCTAAGGCAAAACTTCTCGTTTTCAAAGTTGGTTAGAAAAATGGAAACGCTTTCACCCAATCTTACCTTTCATCAGGGAAGGCCTTGTAGACCCTATCAATATCTTCAACTAGATGGTTCTTCAAGAACGTACTGTTCAATATATTACCAAATAGAGGAACACCAGGTATATACTTCACCCCTCTCTCATCGTAGAACTTATGCACCCATTTATATAGATATAGAAAATAGCCCACAAGGACCGTGATGAGAAATATAACGATTTCAACGATCATTTTGCTCAAACACTCGAGATGTACTAGTGCGGTGACAATATAATATATTGCAGATATATGTATGTTATCATTGCTGCGTAGTTTAAAAGTTTAAAGTATAAGCGTTTCGCGATTTTATTAAGATTTGGGTATTTTTTAACTTTTGTAATAATGTTTTAGTTTTTTTTTTAAATATGCATTCAACCCTTTTTAACGCCATACTGCTAGGCTAATGCCTCCTTTAAATACCTTCAATACAATAGGGAACAGGCCATATGGACTATGTATGCATGTGTTTGAGTGAAGACAAGTGGTAATCATGCTGGAAATCATTAACACATGAAAATATCAAAAGTCCCGGGATTTGAACCCACTTCACTCGGTTTCTCAAGAAACTTCCATTGCTTTATGTTGCCAAATGTTTTATAGATAGTTACCATTTTGGCTGTCAGGAGCTAGAGTGATCTCGGATAATACCTATTATCTATTTTGTAACAGTATACCACTCGAGCGAAACCGAAGGTTAAGCTTAGTTATTTAAAAAAAACTCTTTTTATTTTAATTTGATTACCTTTATTTGATTAATTGAGAAAGTAAAGGCTTTTTTATTTTTGTATTTTTTTTCGTAACCTAATTCAAATTATAATATTATTTATTTTATTAAAAAAATAAAAAAATTCATTTTATAATAAATAATAATATAATATATAAAAATAAAATATTATTAATCCCAAAGTTAAACTGTACATACATACTAAAACATAGCCTATCTATGCCAATTATCTGCTTCCTATTCTACCCTTTCTCTATGAAAAAAATGCAAAGCACAACCGGAACCAATAAATAAACAAACTAACAAACAGATTTTTAAAGTTGTTTTAAAGTTGTTTTATTATACATAATAAGAATTCCTATAAATATTTAATATATAAAAACGTTATCTAATTGTTTATGAAATATATATGTAGTGTACTCTTGTAACTTAAAAATTACTCTATTATTCAATTGCTGAATTTATCGTTACAGCTCAATGCTCTTCTACATCCTTTATTAGTTAAAGAGTCTTGTTTTCCCCTCGAGATAAGCTTTCGTGATTCTCTCATTGATCACTTACAAAGTGAGAAAGAAACAGAGAAAAGAATAAAAAAGGTAATAAAATAAAATAAACTATGTAGTACCAAAAAAAAAAACTATATTGTAAGTAATATAATAATCCAAACTTTTAAGCTATTTATACTGGCCAGTTCTGATTAAAATAAAATGAAAATAAATAAAATGAAATTATGACAAAACTTCGGGAGCCAAAACCCAAAATAAATCCGTGAAAAAAAAAAAACCGAAAAGGTAGTTTTATTTCAAACTTTAGTTAGGTGTTAACGTTTAGTATAGATTTCTTAGAAATGAGATATTTTGTCGCTGTAAAAAGTATCCTATATGTTGATCAAAATCTGTTGAGTGGTTTTCTTGTGATGCGTTCCCAGACAGGCAGACAGACAGACAAAAATTCTAAAAACAAGATTAACTAGAATAACTACTAGATTCGGTCTCTGTATCATATTAATGACTATTTCAATAAGATTTCCCAAAAAGTATTTAATGTACAGACAGATTCAGCTTAGTTAGAATTTTATTATATGTATATATAGATAACGTCTACACAATCAATAACTTTATTTAGAACAATAAATCAGTTTTCTTTCTTTCTCGTACGGTTTTAATGTAGACACTACAAAATTAATCGGATCGGCCAGTGTAATTAAAATTTTATGTCCCGCTACTGTTTCGTGTACTAACTGAAAGTAGTAAGTTTTATTCCTTGAGATAACGTTTCGATCGTAAAACATAATCCAAAGCTTAAGCGACCATACTATCGTAGAAATATTTAATCTGAGTGTCTGTAGTCCATATTCGCTGACTCGATATATCATGTGGCAAATTCTAATATCTATGAGATTTAAAAAAAACTTGTGTGTGTACTTATGTACGCAATATGAACTACGGGCGTTAGTGTGACTTACCATCTACGACTGCGTTACCACTTACCATCAGGTGGAACGCAGTCAAGCACTACGTAAGAAGTTATACTTCTTTGGCGTAACAGAACAAAAATAGCTAAAGATTTCATCCGGTATGTCACAACGCTCTGTTTGTAAAATGAATGCAGCTAACTTCATCATGCCACTTTCATCAAACTTCATCATGTCGCTTTTTGGCTGTTGGTGTGCGAAAAATTTTACTCCCATATTTTTTTCCAAGCGTGCCAAAAGAAATATAACTTAAAAAAAAACGGGAAAGACTATAGAATTGAAAAAGGTGGTAATGCGTCTCTGGGCAACGCATGCACTATGCCACTCCAGGTTATAGCTAATCTGTATACTAAATTTTATCCAAATATGTCCAGGCGCTTCGGCGTAGAGAAGTAACATTTTTCTTTTTACATCATTTCAACTTCCTCGACTTTCCTCTTGGACTTCAATTTCCTCTGTTTTTATTTTTTTTCATTAATAAGGTTATTTTTTAATGTATAAGTTATATGTCAAAAATACCTCTATACAAATCAAAAAAAAAACTCACAAAGGTGAAAAATTGACTTTTAACGTATAATATAACAATTAATAGGGTGCTACCTAAGCTCGGTAGCTTCGCTCGACATTTTGTTGAATCGTGTTTTTTCGTAAAAGATGTAAAAAATATTTTTTTTAGAAAAGATACTTATAGAGATATTGAAAAGCAAATCCTTATTTAAATACAAAATTAAAAAGATTAAAGATCCAAATCATTAGAGTTTACAAGATACACGAAATTTAATTTACATACCTACTGATATTAATGATTTTCTAAGTAAAACTTTGAGCTCTAAACACTATGTCTTCACCGTTGGGTGTAATGTGGCGCCATCTATCTTATACAGATTACACATTACCCCACAGTGGATGACAATACTTTTAAAATATTAATATTTAAAATATAACAAACTAATATCTGTATTAATATAATAAAATTGTAAATAATAAAATATAAATAATCAACATCAAATTAATATTATAAAAATATAAAATTATAACTAAAAAAATATGAAGAATCAATATTATGATCTATAAATAATGACTAATAATCTCCCCTACTATAATAATCAATTGAGCAACTATAACTAACAATACAAATGTGCCCATACTTAATATTAAAATTGTGAAAGTGTGTTTGTTTGTTTATTTGTTTGTTTGTTTATTTCTCCTTCTTTCATGTCGAAACATAGTGTTGTTTTGTTGTGTGGAGATAGTTGGAGGGGCTGGAGAGTAACGTGGGCTAGTTTTTACCGCGGGAGATTATCTCATTCACACGGGAATGTTATATTACAAACCACAGATTATTTATAATCAGAATAACTTAAAACTTGGCATTAATTCTCTTCAATACAATTAAATAAATACGTGTTTTAGCATTTTTCGAAATTCATCCAATAAAAGGATAAAATAGGGGATGAAAGTTTGTATGAAACATACTTTAAAAAAAATATTTTGTAATATTCGCGCGGGCGAAGCCGCGAGTTCTGCTAGTATACAATAATTGCTCATTTAATATAACAAGTTTTTAAGACCATATTAAAAGATTCAATGAAATAATTAGTGATGCGTTACACAACTGGTGTACAAAGTCAAGGGAGGTTACAAGTAAAATTTTATATAGCGTCTATAAAGAAGATAGTTGGTATACTAAAGTGCTTATTTCAACAGAGGAACGATGTAACCGTTGAATTCGGTCCGTCCATATAAACAGCTGCAGTTTACTCTACGTTACGAAATGTATATTTTAAAGCATAAACTAACAGTCCATGCATTTATTCATGAGTGCCGCATTTTGCTCAAACGAAGGTGTAGCGTTAATTGTTGTCTGTGTGTCTTGTGTCATACTTGTAGCACTATCCATACTAATATTATAAATACGAAAGTCTGTCTGTCTGTTATTTTTTCACGCCTAAACCGCTGAACCAATTTTGATGAATTTTAGTATGGCAATGGATGGGACCTTGGATAACAGCCTATTTTTTTTCGCAAAAATAAAACTTGAAGATTGACACTGAAATTTTGTATTGGGAACAAATCATTTCTCATGAAAATTCATTAAAACCAAAAAATTTGGTAAGAATTTTTCTAAAGTACTTACCTACTTTTCTATAAGTATGTACATATAAGTATACCTTTACTGGTCATTATATACTTATTGGTCGATAATATGTAGCAGTGAGAATAAAATTCTTATATCGTACTAGTTTATGCCCGCGCCTTCGCTCGCGTGTTAAGTGGGGTGGAGATTCTATGTTTGTCCGATCCCAGGATGCAATCTATGTCCTCGCCAAATTTTATCAAAATCTGTTCAGCAGTTCAGGCGTGAAAAGGTGAGATGAGGTTACTTTCAGATTTATAGTATTAGTATGGATATAGATTTTATTATAGATACAATGGAATAAATATACAGTATTTCGCGTAGAAGGTTGAATATTTGATGTTGGCGCGAAGTAACAAGCTAAAGTACTGGAAATGTAGCGTTTTTAGGTGCTTTTTTAAGAAATTGCTCGTTATTACAGTAATTTCAATAAATATTAGTATTGAATTTAATTTAATATGATTCCCGTTAACATGCGCAGAACTTTGGCAGAAAAAGTATTATTGAGTTTATTGAGAACTTTTATTGAATTCTAGGTACGACCGAATTTCATGAACTATATATATTTTTTTCCAAAATGTTCATCTTTTTAGACGACACGTTTGGCTCAGTTTGTAGTGACCCTACTTGCTGTGCCAGCGGTCGCGAGTTCGAGTCCCGCTGGGAGCATTCATTTGTGTTATGAGTACAAACAATTGTACTCCAGCCATTTGTGTTTATATTTATAAAATGTATGTATTTAAAGTTATATCATTATATGTAGTGTATCAACTGTCTCGTATTCATAACACAAGCCTTGTAACTTACCATGGAACTAGATGGTGCCGTGTGTTAATGTCCCAATATATTACTTATTA